TGTATCGGCACCAGACAGACATGAAACTGATGTATAGGCAACCCACACAACGCCTTATTTACGACCCAACTCTCTAATACTCCCATATCTATGGTTGCGACCGTTATGAATGATCCTCTGGGGAATCCGGTGAACTTCGTACAAAAGCTCAGACAGAAGATACTAATATGGCTTTCCTCAAAAAAAAAATCCTGATGAATTAAGACACTAATATATAGTGCTCACCAGAAAGTTGGAAGCATGTATGAAATTAATTTTTTATTATTTTGAAAAAAAAATTGTTATTTTATAAAACTTTTTGCAATCTGTGCAATTTAATAATAACAAATTTGTTATATGAAGTGCTCCATCCATTTAAAAAGATTATGTGCTATAGTACATTTGCTTCACATTCAAAATAGGATGAAATGTAATTCAAAAAGTTTTTTACATAAAGCAATAAAAGGACATCTTACAAGATTTACTGGAAACAACTACTCAGCGGACAAAAGCCCCGACTTGCATTGAATTAAACCTGCAATCTTGTTTGGTAGCTAAGATCATTTGTCAGTTCCTCACTAGATATAGATCGGTTTCGAACTTGTTATGTTCTCGTCAGTATGCCATAAGTAATGAAAAAGACAAATAATGATAGCAAACCAGGCTAGCCTAAAGCAGACAAAGTAAGACAGACATAGTGAGTGATAAGTATATCCCTCTGTTGGTCAGTGCTACTACCTTCCAGGCATCTGTTAGCAACATCCAAAAACAAAAACAAATGATTCACCTTAATACCATATATAACTTCTTACGAATGTTTTATTTGGTATCATTTTATAAAACTAAATAATCGTATTTCCTGTTAATAAAAAAAATATGCATCGGTATAGCCAGTAATTTGTAACGGTCCACGTTTTGACATAAAAGATAATTTAAATTTATTTGTGCCCCGTTATTTAGGTAATCTCACTTGCACAATTAAATAGTATGTTGTCTATAGTTCGATAGTTTTAATGAATACCTTTATCACGAGTTGGCATAGAGAAGAAAAGGTGCGAAAGAAGAAATATCGGGGGAGTTGAGCAAAACCCGACCATGCGCTACCTATAATTTTATATATTAAATCCATATGGTATTTAAAATGAATCGGTTGTTTTCATTTTTCACTATTATAAATAAAAACTTATTTACAGCTATTTAAAGCTTTATGCTGGCAATCCCGGCGATGAGGGCGTGCTAACACTGCCTTAAAGCAATCCACACATTTTCTTAATTATTTTTCGCAAAAACTATTTTCGGTAAAGTATTTGTCCAATATTTTACTAATTTAGATTGAATTGTAGTAATAAATTCTTCTTAAAACGCAAGCAGCATTAACTTTTAGTGTAGTAATTTGCAGAAAAAATACTCCTCAAATTTTCGTTACTTAAATATTTAAATACATATGAATACACTACAATTTCTATATTTTCCAGCCATTCTAGTCAAGTATAATTTGTATTGACGATGTAAACGGAAGGAAAAGTGAGATATAAGTTCAGAGAAAGGGCTATTTTAAATTCCTGTCAGATATAAAAGTTTGAATAGGTAATTCCACATCAATATTTACAGGTAAATTCAAACCACGTTCCACAAAAGAAAGAAAAATACTAAAACTCATCCTCCACAAAATTTATTTCCGTGCAAGGTTATAAATATAATTCTTGCACGAGAAGAATGGCATTACACATTCTTTACTTTGCTTAAGGGCTTGACATGCAATATTAAATGTTATGCTGATAATATCAGCATTACTGTTTCTTATAGGCACGACACATTGATGTTTCATCTTGAGAACGATGAATTTTTACGTAAATTGGCAATGCTGTACATAATTTTTGTTAGTGCTACGTATCACTGATGTTACAAATTTTCGTTTGACATTTCGGAGATCATTATTTGTTAATTTCATTTGAAATAGTTTGCAGGTTTTTACGGCTTTTTTTTTAGATAATTATTATTTTGTCGTTTGTTTCGTTGTTACATTGATTACATTGATAGACTTAATATACGTGGCGGACAAGTTGGTATGTACATAAAAAATTGCTATAAATATTCTATTGTTGATTGGACTGATTTGTCTAATTTTGAAAGCTTGTGCACTGAATGTATCGTACATAATAAAAAAATTGTAATTGGCGCCTTATATCTAACCTCATTCTAATATTTATGAATTTCTTAGGCAATTTGAAAACCTTATTAGTAAATATATTAATTACATCATATGATCACATAATTCTTATGGGCGCCTTTAACATTGATTTGTTTAAAAAAGCAACAATAATCAATGATAACTTTAATTTTATTTTAAATTCATTTGGACTTAATCAAATTATTATTTTGCCAACTAGGAAAAATTTAAATACAGGTACGTTATCATTAATAGACTTCATTATAACAAATAATGATATTGATACTTTAGAATCTAATTCAGTGTCCATTCAGACAATGTATCTGATCATACCTTAATTTTCGCCACAATTAAAATACCCAAAATTAAATTTGATCTAAGATCTATTTGTCTTAGAGATTACATTAAAGTAAATTGGGATGCAATATATTACATAACAAATGTTAATGAGAAATTAAATATCTTCAATAATAATGTTTCGTATTTAATAAATAAACATGCTACCTACCCTCAGAGATAAAATTATAAAAGTAAAACCTTTCACACCCTGGATCACAGGTAATATTAAATTACTTATGAAAATGAGAGATAAAACTAAAGCTAAATATTAAAAAAAATTAAACCCACCTATGTTTAGAATACTATAAACAAAAACAAAAAAATTATGCACACCATGCCATACAACGGAAAAAATATGCTTATTTTGATGCATTGTCAAGAAATAAACATACGAAATTATTTTGGAATGATATTAATGAACGTAATTTAACAAAACATAAAACAAATAACTACATCTCAAAAGTGCTTGCCGATCTAGAAAAAATTAATAATTACTTCATCTCTTCTACAACTCCCAATAAAGATCCCTCATATGAAAAGATAAATTATTATAATTCTAATTTACACCATAATAATATTATTAAATTTAATATTAAACCATGAACAAAGAATGATGTTTATATAGCATAATCAATAATATTAAAACTTGCAGTATTGGCGAGGATGGTATCTCTATTCGAGATCTGAAACTATGTTTGCCATTTTGTATAAATCATTTAGTAAATATTTTAAACAGCTCTATTCTTGATAGCATATTTCCACATTGCTGGCAAAAAGGCAATTGTTAAACCGCTAGCGAAAATAACTAACCCCATTAAATCGAAAGATCTCAGGCCCATTAGTATTTTACCAGCAATTTTAGAAAGACACATTCATAAACAGATTTTCCCATATTTTAATGAAAACTACTTGACTTCTTCAACACAATCTAGCTTTCGAAAAAATTATATCACCTCGACTGCACTAATAAAAGTAACTGATGATATTTGTCAAAATACTGATAATAATAAAGCAACCAGTTTAGTACTACTCGATTTTAGTAAGGCATTTGATACGCTGAATCCATTAGTTTTGTTCTCTAAACTGCATTATTTTAGTTTTTCTGATGAATGTATTAAAATGTTCAAGTTCTATTTAAACAATAGGAAACAATGCGTGGCTGTAACAGTAGATAATAAGACTGTTAAATCCAAATATGCTCCATTAAGTTAAGGTGTACCCCAAGGATCTGTTTTAGGACCTTTATTATTTTTAATATATGTTGCTGACATGAATGGTGAAGTTTAGTATTTTAATTTAATACAATATGCAGACGTTTCTCAGTTAATATTAGAAGTTTGCCCAAATAATAAAATAACTGCTCAACAAAATTTTTTGTCAAATTTACAAAAACTAAAAAAGTTTTATTCGTTTGATTGATAGTGGGCTCAAAATATATCAGGGATAAATTATCTGATTTTACTCTTAACATTGACACTGATGAAATACCAAAGTAAGTGAGGCAAAAAACCTAGGTATAATTATTGACGATGCACTTAACTTTCAATCGCATATTTCTAACAAAATAAATCTGGCTTATAGTCACCTAATAGGTTTGTACCCATATAAAACTTGCATGTCATCAGTCGCGAAATATCGTGTGTAACAGTTTTATTCTCTCACTTCTTGATTACGGCGATATAGTATATAATAATTTAATTAGTGTTGCTTCATGTCATGCAATACAAACAGTTCAAAATGCTTGCATGCGCTTTTCGTACAATATTCCTTTCCGAAATCACATTACTTCCTATTTAAATCAAAATTGTATGCTAAATGTGAAAAACGGGCGTATGACACACACATATGGACTAATTTATAAAGTGATAACTACTAATGAACCCCTTTATCTGCGTAACAAATTTCCAATGTATAATCATTCTCAAAACGCTAAGCATAAGCAAGGTTCTAGAATACCTAAACACAAATCCTCCACTTTTCAAAAGTCATATACATATAATGCAATTTATATGTGGAACATATTCTAGATTCTAACATTAACTATTTGCCTGCGAAAATATTTAACTCTAGAATAATAAATATAGTTTAAAAAAACTAAAAAACACGCTTTTAAAGCACATCAAACTAAAAAGTGAAAAATAATTATTAATATAAACTGAAAATAATAATGAACGAAAAATACTAGTATTATTGTGAAAAAAGCGTGGGGTGCTCGATATACGAAAAATATTGCACAAAGCACCCCACGCTTTTTTCACAATAATACTAGTATTTTTCGTTCATTATTATTTTCAGTTTATATTAATAATTATTTTTCACTTTTTTAGTTTGATGTGCTTTAAAAGCGTGTTTTTTAGTTTTTTTAAACTATATTTATTTTTAACTTTTTAGTTTGATGTGCTATGAAAGCGTGTTTTTTAGTTGTTTTAAACTATATTTATATTGCTTATTGATGCTGATATTATAACATATTACGATCCAACAGATATTTCTGAAAAAAAAAAAAAATTTTTATTTCAGCCGTGAGGTTCGAACTCACGCCGGAGGAGTCTGTCGTTTCGCGTCCACTGCCTTAACCCACTCGACCACCGGGCTAATTAACAATTATGGAATCTACTGACATATTAAGCCTTTGCTTTCACGCAGGGATACGTGAGGAAAGGATTGGCGATCCTGATCAGGATAATGATATAAACTTATCAAATTATTGTATTGTTACCGGTTCTTCGTAAGTGTACAAAGTTTCAATTAAATCTGTCCGTTTAAAGTGGGTCAAAATCGAGTCCAAAGAGTCGGTTACAAACAAACAAGCAAACAAACAAACAAGCAAACATACAAGTGAAGCTAATAAAAGCGTGTTAAAAAGTATGGTGCTTGCTGCACAAAATGTTGTCTGTTAATAGTCAGTACCCCCCACCTTGCTTGTACTTAAAACACTATAAAAACATTTAAATTTGAATTTTTTAATTATTTCGATCAATCCCTCACCACCACGCCATATAGCGCCGCGTCGGCATCGCAGCACCCATTTATTTTATTTTTTTTTTAATATATGATATGGTTTAGTTAAGTTTAATTATAGTAAATTAATTTCCTTTGTTTGGGGCCATTGGAAGAGCACCATTTAGGTGAAGTGGTACCTATTTATCTATCTAATTTCTGTTTAATTGAGGTAAATAAAGATATTATTATTATCATTATTATTAATATTACTTTTTTTTTCTGGAATATCCGATGCCGAGCAGTCCTCCCGTGGCTTCCGACGCCTCACGGGAGTCGCGCCGGCACATTAACTACAGCCACTCCCCACATCCCACAGGATTAGTAACTGTAGATACCAGAATCGTGTGCTCTAAGCAGACGGAGAGAACCCAGCATGACCGCCTTCTGCATTTGGCCTGCCAACCATTCGACTGATTTTTGGCAGGCCGGTATGAACTTTAGTTCCGAGAGCAGCGTAGGCTTTATCCCTTCGAGTACACCGATTATTAGGACGACCATTTTTACCGAGTAGCCTGGGTACAGCACTTGGATCTCGTACCGGAGATCGCGGTATAATATTTTTTTTTTTTTTCGGAATATCCGATGTCGGTCAGTCCTCCCGTGGCCTCCGACGCCTCACGGGAGTCGCGCCGGCGCATCAACTACAGTGACTCTCCACATCCCGCAGGGTTAGTGACTGTAGATACCAGAATCATGTCCCTAAGCAGACGGAGAGAAACCAGAATGACCGCCTTCTGCATTTGGCCTGCCAGCCACTCGGCTGATTTTTGACAGGCCGGTATGATCTTCAGTTCCGAGAGTAGCGTAGGCTTTATCCCTCCTAGTACACCGATTATAACGACGACCATTTTTACCGAGTAGCCTGGGTACAGCACTTGGAGCTCGTACCGGAGATCGCGATATTTGGTCCGTTTCTCCTCCTCCTTCAAGGTGATGTTTTTCTCTGCAGGTGCCGAGAACTCGATGACATACATCACCTTGAGTTGATGGTCGAGGAGGATTATGTCAGGCTTATTGGCGTGGATTAGCCTGACAGTCGGGAACGAGTAGTTCCAGTAAATCTGGCATTTCTCGTTCCCGACAACGGACTTAATATCTCCGGGGACATAAGGCAGCACTGGTGTCTGGTCTACCCCGTACGAGTGCCTTAGATGGTAGTATAGCATTCGTAACGCCGCGTTATGCCGGTGGATGTAGGCCGAAATCGCATATATAGGGCATGCAGATAGTAAGTGCATGAGCGATTCCGGCGCCTGATGGCAGGTCTTGCAGTTGATATCAGGAACCTCTACACGCCACACGCGGCTACGGTAGACCAAGGTGTTGATAACACCATGTTGACAGGCCATAATGAATTCTTCGGTCTCCGACTTAAGCCCTGCTGACCTTAAAAAGGCGAATGTCAGCCTGGTCGATAAACCCAGCGTTACTATGTTCTTATAGAAGACACCATGCTGGGGTTTATCGACGTGCTGCCGAAACAGATTTTCCTATTCGGCAGCTCTATTTCATGTTTTCAGACGATTTGTCTGAAGTTCAGTGACTGACTCTACATCAGCACCTCGCCGGCCTCCTCGCCTGATGTCAAATGCGAGACCGAGTTCATCTGCGGCTCTTTTTGCTGCCTTAAACAATCCCGCTCCCACTCCTACAGTTTCGTGATGTTTCACAAACCGCAAGAGGGGATCTGAGCTCCTGAGGATGTTACATGCCATATTCAGTACTACTCTGCCATGCGTGCACTCCAGGCTCAAGAGTCCTCGGCCTCCCCGTTGACGTGGGAGGTACACACGAGGAACGGACAATCTAGGATGAATACTCCTGTGAATATTCATCATCTTCCGGGTATCTCTGTCTAATTGTTGCAGCTCATCTACCGTCCACTTTACTACTCCAAAGGAGTAGAGCAGAACCGGAACGGTAAGCATATTAGTTGCAGACACCTTGTTCTTCCCCGAAAGTTCGGAAGACCAAATCTTTCGGAGGCGGTGTCTGTACTTGCCGCGGAGAGAATCTTTTATTAGTGTTACATCCTGGATGTGCCTTTGTTGCACACCCAGGTATGTATAGGTCTCTCCAGCATCCAGATGTCTTAGGATGCTTATTATTATTATTATTATTATTTACCTTTGTAATAGTAACTGTTCTGAAAGGAAATAATCGAAATTTAAAAAAATCTCCCTCGGTTAGATGCATCTCTTCATCATGTCTAATTTGAAATAAAGGAAATAAGAAACTTTTATTAAAACTATTAATTTCATTGGCGTTTTTATTTATTGATTACATTTATTCATGTTGCTCGGTAAAGATTATTTAAGATAATGCCAAGTTAATAAAGAATAAAAATGCCAAATAAGGATAAGATTAATAAGTAGTAACATGACATCATTGCCAGTAGGTTAATTCTATTTTTCTATGTGAAATTTATAAACGTATCTATTTAATCATTTCATGGAAATTATAAAAATGGAAAAAGAGTAAAACAGAAGGTATTAATAAGATATTACACGTATTGCTTTGTGGTTTCAGTTGAACTACTTCAGTTTGTTCGGAGTTGGCAGGTCGTGATAGATCACGTAATGCTAAAGATGGTTAATTTGATTGAGGTCAGCCCTATTTGTAGATCACGTAAAATTTTATTGTACTATTCCAAAAGATCAACTCTCGACAAGGAAGGTAATCGATACTTTGCGCTCAAAGTAAACCTCTGGCTGAAATTTTAATTCTGAATACCATTTTTACATAGTTGTTATCATATAATAAGAGTGTTTCTGGGTCAGCAGTACCTGATTTACATACAGAATGTTCCATAAATACGCGGTAAAAAATCGGGAATATATTATTCCTTACTTCAAAATAAGACAAAATGTTGGTTTCAGAATGGGACCGATAACGTTTCATTTCCGAGTTACAAGATAATGAAGTGCTGTTAGAAAATGAAAATTTTCTTATTTCAGCAAAGAACTGTTTTTTAAGTTTCCACAATAGAAGAGCTAATTCTGGTAAATAGTAAGTATTGTGTACTAAAAATTACGAGTAGTTAGCAAAGAAAAAAAATAACCCAGTAGGTTTGGAAAAGGTTGATTTTATACACTGTTTGGGGTCTGACCCAAATTGGCTATTTTGGAATTCCACAAAAAACGCAAATATCTTGAAAAATAGGTGATAACGTAACCCGTTTAATTTCACACCTTATGTACCACTCAAGAACTTAAAAAAATGAATATTGAAACTCATGCTATATCTGAATGTTTAAGTCGCCAATTGATATGGATTTGCAAAATCAGTGATATTGAGAGTTTTTCAAATATGCGATTTTTTTAGATTTTTTGTTCAGCTTGCCGTATCTTTTTTATTAGTATTTGTATTAATTTTAAATGTTAAACAGATAATAATCAAATCTTTCTGGTCACATTAAAGTGAACAAAATTAAAAGTTAATTACTGTATAACTTAAATAAAAAAAGAAACAACATGGCCGTATGTAATTTGCAGCACAAAATACAGTCGCCTGCTATTTTCATTATTTTTAAAGATAGCTAGGTACTATGTAATGGTCAATTTTTTTTTTAATAAATAATTTGGACTGCATTCCTTATAAATTATCTGGAAATTGTGTGAATTATAAGTTATATTCCAAATTCGAATAAAATAATTATACAAAACCTTACTGTACTAGCTAGTTAGTGCGCCGCTAGTGTGCGGGAGAAAAAAGTTATTTACGAAGAAGATCGGTAGCGCGCGCTGAGAGAAAAGGGTGTGGACACGGCAATGGAAAGTCGTTGTTAAGCATGAGATAACTTTGTGAGTTAGTAAGGTGCACGAAGGCGATGCAGGCTTATGGAAATAGCTGATATGGTTGGAGTGCTGTAAGGCCCAGACTGTACGTTCAACTCAGGAGGAATGGGTAAGAATGTATCATTATATTGACGACTCGACGACAAAAGAGATATGTAAATTCTGAGTATTTAATCTCGAACCCCTTGGCACCTAGGCACTACCCACTAACTTGTGGTCAGACTTAAGTGCATCGTGAGTGAACAATAAATTGTTGACATGAATTTCTAAAAGATATAAAAACCGTGCCTTTAAACTAAATTCGATTAATCTATTTCACTTGAATTTGTGCTTAACTATCATCGACTGTTTAAATAGCCACCCATTTTGTCCATCTCATAATGGTAGCATGTTGTTTTAAGTTAAAAAGAAAAACACTATATTTTAAACCCAAAAGATGGTGGCGCACAATAATAAAAAATTTGTTGATTTTACATTTTTTTGTACTTTTTAGATTGGCGATTGCCATGTATGACCTTGTTCCTACTTTATTTAGTTATAAGTTTCATTTGATTTATCTGATTAATCGCTTTGCTTCCCCGACCCGAGGTTAGAGTCGGAAACATTGTTAATTATGAGTAAATGTATTTTGTTTCATTTGATTTAATTAAACTATTCTTAATGATATGGTGACAGACGTTATAACTATCTGTAGCAATGTGATAGATAATGAAACAAAGAGAAATTTTTTTTTTACTAAAACATGTTTTTTAAAGTTTGCTTAATTGTTGAGAAAACCATATTTTTTATGATTTCACC